TACAAAGCACCAAAGAAAGTCCTTCACATGGTAGAGAGGATCCAAAGGATTTTCTTTGGAGATCGTATCCTTCTAAATAGAAAGTGGCATGAGTTGCATAAGAGAAAGTGTGTCAACACAAAGAGGTGGGAGGTTTGGGTGTTAGGAATTTTGGGATTAATGAATAAGGCATTGTTAGGGAAATGGAGGTGGCGATTATTACATGAAGAAGGGGAATTGTGGCATGATGTCTTATTTATGAAGTATTGTTGTAATCGAGTTGGTGATTGGAGGGTGGAGGGTCATATACTGGAATGGTTGGATTATTTTTTTTGGATGCATGTTGGGAATGGGACATGATACTTGGGTGGGCGAGTAGCCTTTGAAGATAGTCTACCCAAGGTTATTTCGCGTATCTGAATAACAAAATGATCTCATTGGTGATATAGGGGAGTGTGATGAAACGGGTATATGGCGTTGGAAGTGGAGTTGGCAGAGGGTTTTGAATGATAGGGATGAAAGGATGAGGATGGAGATGGTGGAAGGTTTTACTAATATTTCTTTTTTACAGGATCATACCGATACTTGGAGATGGCAAGGTCATTCTAATGACGATTATACGGTTACTAAAGCTTATTCTATGTTATGCACAACTCCGGAACAATTAAAAAAATCATTTATTAGCATCGATGTGGAAGCTACTAATGTCAACGAATGTGTCTATTTTTATGTGGCGTTGACTTCAAGATCGTCTTCCTACAGACATGAATTTGTAGCAGCGTGGTATTGTTAATTCATAAGTACGTTGTAATTTTTGCAAAGTTTCTGAAGAGGTACCTGCTCATTTATTCCTAAATTGTAATATATCCTGTATGTTGTGGAAGGAGTGTCTATCATGGTGGAGAATAACATTAAGTTATGGACACTAGAATAAACGAATCTCGCGTCTCTTCAAACAAAAAAGTGAATTGGTGGCTGATTTACTGTTTCGAGTTAAATAGTTTTCGTGGGAATGGCTAGTTACAAAAAGCAAGTTAAAATTGAGTAGCTTTGGTGATTGGAATGAGGACTCTGGTAGGTGTTTATTATGAATAGATTTACTGTGTGTCTGATGTGCATATATTAGAGGGTGAGAGTTTGAACCAATAATGTGGTTAATGCTGCAGGTGCGTCTGGTATGGAATTGTGAATTTTGAGTTCTGCAAAATTCGTGCTTCTGCATAATGTGTAGTGAGGTTTGTTTTTTTAGGTTTTTACCTTGAGTGTTTATAATTATATAGCATTCTTGTATTGTGACTGTGACATTACAACAGATATTCTTGCTTCTTTTTCTTGTAACTCCTCCGTAGTTCTGGTACTTTATTTTAATAAAATATAATTGTTGTTAATAAAAAAATATATATTTTTATAGAATTTAAACAAAAAATAATGACATTTTCATGATTCTTATTATTATTATTTTTTAAATTCTAATAACTAATGTATACATGAATTTTGTTTAGTTTACAAATGGGTCTTTGTTTGCTTTTACGGTGGTATGTATGTATCAAAGAAACGTTTACTCTGTATAGCCAATTCATGTCTGATTCAGCCCTCCGACAGCTTGTTCACTTTTGGAGGCTATAAAACAAATTTTAAACTGCATAACCCGTCTGCAGTTTCCCATTTGACGTTGGTTGAGATCTGCATTTAATTTATGCCTTTTATGTACAGCCCACATGGAAGAAAAAGACATATTGAGGATAGGATCAAAAGCCGAATGCCAATTGCATACTGTAAAACATTAATATGGTTTCAAGTAGAGGTGACAAAATCTTAGGTGTTAATTAAATATTGTGATTGAAAACTTTAAAATTCTAGAAAATATGAAAGCAACAATGAAAAATGATTAGAGTGGTAGTTAAATATGAGATAAGTTATGAATGATAAATAATAAAAAAACAAACATAATAGTGAAATATTTAAATTCTCTCTAAAAATAAGTCATTTAAAAAAAATTATTTGACATAAAAATCATCTAATTAAAATTCTGAAATATATTAAAATTACTTTTTTTAAGTATCTAAGTACCTAAATTATAGAAATTTTGAAAAGCCATATCCAAACACAACATAAAAATTAAGGGATGCACAAAATCTTGAATGATATATATTTAAGAAACAACTAAACTTTTATATACATTAGTGTCGGAGGAATAATGTTAGGTTAATTAAATATTGAAACATTAAATGACGTGATGAACAGTTAAGAGGCATTAATTAATCTTGTTATTAGAGAAAAAAACACACTTAAACTTGATTACAATGATCTATTGTACATTGTTATGGTGGATTTCTTTCATTGTGTTACTCATTCCTCAAATAGAGCTAGTGAAATAAAATTTCAGAATTAATAATATATAAATACTCTATTACAAGGAAAACAATCATGCTGTCATAACTATAAATTATAGACTCTTAAATAATTTATAATTTTTGTGTTTATTAAATAATTTTACTAACTTATTATCAAAAGTTGCAAACTCTTAAATAATCTCTAAATTTATTTCCTGGTTTAACATTAGGATTAGAAAAAGTACTGAGCTATTAAAGATTTGCCATATACTGGACAATTTTAGATTTGCTTACTTACAAGTTACAACTGCGAACTGTATAGGAGTGGTTTATCTTGAAACCATTAACATAAGTACCTAACATTAATAAACAATTCAAGAATTGAAGCTCGGATTGTTGGCTCTAGTACTAGAAATATGCTACTTGAGAAAACAAGCCAGGTTATATAATTAATTAGTTAATCGATTAAAAAAATTAATTACAGCTATAATGAAATAGAATCTGGACAAATCAATTACGAATGCTGTACTTTGACAAGTTTAAATAGTTCATGAATACTTCGGAATTAGAAGAAATTCTATGAATGTATAGTCTCACTTGTATAACAAATTATGTCGCTGTACGTACAGGATAATTATGTATTCTCACAATTTTTTTTCTTATTTCTTATTAGCATAGTTTATTTTATACAGGACACATAATATGGTCTCCTGTGATCCTAGTGTAGAAATTAAATGACGTAAGATCTATTCGCAAAAAGAAAAAAAAAGGGCATGAAAATACATATAAACATACTTTTGTATATAGTTTATTATTTAAACTACTAAAAATTGATATCAAGTGCGATAAAGAATACTATTATTTATATTATTTATTTTTTAATACACACATTCTAAAATACACTCTAAATATAAAAGATATACTTAAATTCATTCTAATAGTACAAAAAACATTTTCCTAATTATTTAACCAGAAAAAATAAAAAATAACCAACGGAACAATGCTATTATGTATTATTAGCCACCATTATTGATATAGATACATATAATGATTAGAAATTTTACCGCAAGTAGTAGATGTAATTGAAGTAATTTAAACCAAAAAGTAAAGCTAAATTTAAGCCAAAAAATTAAGTACTATAAATTGAATGCGAGGGGCTAATTTTGTGGATCTTTCTTTCCAGTTTTCTATTATTTAATATGCCTGGATATGGATGCCATCCACAGATTTGGAGAACAAAACAAAATTCCATCCGGCATTAAATTTTTCATCTACCAAGCACATGCAATGGTTCACTAAAGCACCAGCTTTCTTTCAAAACTCTGATGAATCCTTCTACAGCACTTAATTTTTCTTTCTGACTTGGCTTGGGCCCATGATCTTTACTATATGTACCGTTGCCTAACCGGCTAAGCCAGATTTAGATTATTGGTTTTATAATGCAATGTTCAGTTAGGGTAAAATATTTTCTAACACATTTTTCTTCAATCTGCACTACAATTCACGGCCGCAGATGATATACAATTATCAAATTAAAAATTACATTCAAAAAAGTAAAATCCAACCAACCAGCTTGAATAGTAAATCTAATCAATAATGATACTTCTGTTTAAACTTAAATTCGGACACTCATTTCACAAGCTATTTGATATCACGAATTAGCGAATGATCTGACTGTTTATCAGTTTTGTTATAATTGAGATTACATATAATATTGTATATTGTTATTTTTAGGTCTAAATTTTTCTTTTATCTTTGTATATATATAATCTAAAAAGTAATTAAAAGGGACAAATGTTAGCTGCACCGAAAAAACATTATCGTTATGGTCATAATTAATAGACTTAAAAACGTCTTTTACATAACCTAATTTTGTAATAGAAATTAAGGATGTTTCCTCGCGATGCCTTTTTATTTAGACACTGCCATGTATATCATGACTGACCCATCATACTTGTAAAATAATAAAGGCACTCATTGAGATTACATATAATATTGTATATTGTTATTTTTAGGTCTAAGTTTTTCTTTTATCTTTGTATATATATAATCTAAAAAGTAATTAAAAGGGACAAATGTTAGCTGCACCGAAAAAACATTATCGTTATGGTCATAATTAATAGACTAAAAAACGTCTTTTACATAACCTAATTTTGTAATAGAAATTAAGGATGTTTCCTCGCGATGCCTTTTTATTTAGACACTGCCATTTATATCATGACTGATCCATCATACTTGTAAAATAATAAAGGCACTCACGACGAATGGGAAAACAAATTAATTTCACCGACATAGAGACAAGTTGCAGAAATAGAAGTTGCTCAACAGACAACAGATAGCATCTAGGAGATGCAGGCTTGGCCAATGGGAGAAAGAAGAGTCGTCCGCATGAGAAGTACTAACAATTTAGCTATAGCAATGTGAACTGCAAATTAGCGCAAGTGTCAGTGTGTCAGGTTAAGTAGTACAAAGTTTTGCAGGTTGAAGTTTACTTCTTTCGTGTGAAAAGCGGGTGCACCAAACACACGATGAATAATTGTGGGAAAACAGTGTACATTAAATGCGGCGAGCAGTTAGCAGTTGGAACCAATTAAAGTGTTGGAGGGGTCACATTGTGATTGTCATGTGGATCCTCTGCATTATAAAAACCTCTTCAAACTTATGCAAATTCCATCAACGAGGATTTGGAGAGTGTGAGTGAGTTGAAAGTAAAAATGTTAGTAGAGGATAAGGGAGTGGCTTTGTTGTTATTGCTTTGTGCTCATGTTTTTGTGGCCAATGTGGTTGCAAGGAATGTGGCAAATGAAGAAGAGAAGAATGTAGGGTTTGGAAAGGGAGGTGGGTTAGGTGGTGGGTTTGGTGGGGGAGGAGGAGCCGGTGGTGGGTTCGGAGGCGGGTTTGGGGGTGGAGGTGGTGCAGGTGGAGGAGGAGGATTTGGTGGTGGTGCTGGAGGAGGCCACGGAGGTGGAGCTGGAGGAGGGTTTGGTGGTGGTGCTGGCGGAGGTGGAGGCCATGGGATTGGAGGTGGAGCTGGTGGGGGGTTTGGAAAAGGAGGAGGACTTGGAGGTGGCGGCGGCTTTGGGAAAGGAGGTGGCATTGGTGGTGGAATTGGTAAAGGTGGAGGTTTAGGTGGTGGTGGCGGCTTTGGAAAAGGTGGTGGGATTGGTGGTGGAATTGGCAAAGGTGGAGGTTTAGGTGGTGGTGGCGGCTTTGGAAAGGGTGGTGGCATTGGTGGTGGGATTGGGAAAGGTGGAGGTTTAGGTGGTGGAGGCGGCTTTGGAAAGGGTGGTGGCATTGGTGGTGGGATTGGCAAAGGTGGAGGTTTAGGTGGAGGTGGCGGCTTTGGAAAAGGTGGTGGCATTGGAGGTGGAATTGGAAAAGGTGGAGGCTTAGGTGGCGGTGGTGGCTTTGGAAAAGGTGGTGGCATTGGAGGTGGAATTGGAAAAGGTGGAGGCTTAGGTGGCGGTGGTGGCATTGGGGGAGGAATAGGTAAAGGGGGAGGTTTAGGTGGTGGTGGTGGGTTCGGAAAAGGTGGTGGCATTGGGGGAGGAATAGGTAAAGGTGGAGGTTTAGGTGGTGGTGGTGGTTTTGGAAAAGGTGGTGGCGTTGGAGGAGGGATAGGAAAAGGTGGTGGCATTGGTGGTGGTGTTGGAGGAGGTACCGGTGGTGGCATTGGTGGTGGTGTTGGAGGAGGTACCGGTGGTGGCATTGGGGGTGGATTTGGCAAAGGTGGTGGCTTTGGGGGTGGTGTTGGAGGAGGAGGAGGCTCTGGTGGTGGCTTTGGAGGAGGTTCCGGTGGCGGGTTTGGGGGAGGAGCAGGAGGCGGGTTTGGTGGAGGGGCAGGAGGTGGTTTTGGTGGGGGTGGCGGTGGCGGTGGCGGAGGAGGTTTTGGCGGTGGAATTGGACACCATTGAGCGTTGCCAACGTTGCATGCTTGAAAAACTTATATTTTTAGTTGAAGTCCTTGCATTAGCCATGATAATTGGTTTATTTATAATATTGTACCAGTAAGAAGGAATTACTATTTTTAATAATGTTGGTCATAATATTAATGTACTCTGTTTTCTGTAATAATTAACTTTGAATGAAAGAATTAGAGACTCGAATATCTACTCTTTTTGTCTTCAATGATGAGAAGAACAAATGACGAGAAAATCACTTTCAACCTTCTGCATTTTATGTTTGTCTAACTACGCTTTTTAGTTATGCTGTGTGGGGCGTCCACCATAAATTGACTCAATGCTGATGATATTGATTAAGATAATTTTGGATACTTTTTTTTTTCTTAAATTAATTAATAAGAAGTAATTATGGTAGAATAAGTTGCTTTTTATATATAAAAAAGTAATTTTAAATCTTCTTACATCATTTTAATAATAATTTTGTTGTCAAATTTAAAATTATATATTTTAACTTCTTAATTAATACTACATTTATTTTTTTATAATACATTGATAAGATTAATAAATCGATTATATAAAATTAATGTTGATTATTTATTATTTATTTTAATTAATTAATAATATAAAAAACTTATATCAGCATTATATTAAAATTAAACTTTACACAATATTATTTATTAATAAAGATTAATTCAAGTGATTCATCTTAATTTTTAAAATGAATTTATAAATCTGAATCTTATGTATTAAAAAAGTTTATTAAGAGAATTAATTGGAATGTTATGTAAATCTTTGCAATATAAAAAAAACAGGGAAATATTTATTATTGGGGCTTATGTCGGCAACTATATACTTACGAATGGAAAGTCATATTCGCATTCCAATTCGATATCTACGCATAAAGAAGAGAAAAGGTAGTGTGGCCCCTTCCCCTTGTGATTACAGTGGAAATAAATAAGTGGGACCCTTTGGGTGGATTATCATTTCAGATGGGTCAATTTCATGACATCTAATATTATATCAACGCTTCGGTGTAGACATCAATAAGGATAGACCTGCAAGCAAGACGACCAAAAGTTTGTCAATTCGTAGATTAATCGATGCAATTAGTATGAACGTGTTTTTTATTTGAATTTTTTCAATAATAATAAATAGTAAGAGGATGAATGTGTTTAAGTACACTAATAAAAAAATTGACAATGATTTGGGAAAAAGATGTATATTAGAATTCATTAAGTTTGACGGGCACTTAATGATTTGGAAGAAAATTCGCAAATTTTGGTTTGAAAGATCATTTGAAAATATCAATATTGTTTTATTTTACTGAATAGTAATATTTTTAGCTTATTTGCCTGTTAATTGAATTAAATTAACTGTATTGTTTATTCTGAGAATTTTTCACATAAGACATTGTTACAGGCATTTTATTCATCACGGAACGTGTATAGAAATATGTGAGAAGATTCAGCGAAGGCAACAGAGAGCAGTTAATGTCAGTTTGAAGGGGTCATTAGTCATCGTCTCATCATCAACGGTGACATTCGCAGAAAGAATATTAAATAAAATGTACCGAAGAAGTCACGCTTTCTCTATCGGTACAAAATTCAAACTTGAGACTGCAGAGTTAGCTATGCATAATTAAATGCACTGTGATGAGTGTTTGAAGTTTGAACTTGGAACTGAACAACGAGTCAACTTACATTAGAACGTAGAAAATTACCAAAACAGACAAATGGTCGCTGAAAGCATCTGCAGCTTTGGATTCTTGCTTGACAAGAGAAAATCATTTCACAGGGCACTTTCTTAATGGGTGAATTTAATAGTAATAGGAGTTGCACACTCATTTTCTTTTGTCTAGTGGGCTCACCCTATACCTTTTTGTGTTATTGAAAAGCTACTTTGTTTCCTTTTTCCTTCTTTTATGTTCTTCCCTTATCATTTGTTCTTCTGCCTATGATACTCATAAAGGGTTTCCTTACAATATATTAATCTCTCGGTAAGCAAATCATCCTCGTTTCAGATTTTTACTTTTTATGTCTAAAATATAGTTGGTTTTGTTGATCAGCAATTTGGGTAAGTAAATGGTGAATTTTGGTGAAATTGTGTCAGGTGTAAGGCTTTCTCAGTTCTGAAAAGTCATACTTCTAAACTTGGAATTGCGTTATGTACTTCAAAGCTAGCAAATGCACAAAAATTGATGTTAAAAGTTGATGTAGTAGAACTTAGAGATGCCCATGAACCATGATACTTTTAAGGTCGTTTTCCTATGCTATATATTGATGTCAGGTGCATGAGTATAGGTGATGTAAAGCATCTCAAGAGGTAACTTGAAGTGCTTTTTCTTATGTTCTATGCTTAAATTAATGTTGATGATGTCTCAGGAACGTATGAAGTGGAATTTTCGAGTATGAGAGCTAAGAGTTTGATAAGTAAGAGGAAGTTTAAGATAAGAGAGAGGTTGAGAAAGATGATAAAGTGTATATGTTCCGGGGAGCAGTTAAGGGTCGATGAAACAAGTTATTCATCAGAGTCTCTGGCAACGAGGGACTATTCAGCAAGTGGTTATTCTTCTCGTCCTGGTGAGACCGAAACAAAGGTGGACAATAGTAACATTGAAGAAGCAGAGTCATCTCTTCGTGAAAGTGGTTATTTAAACTATGAGGTTAGATCAAATTCTTCTTTTTCCTTTTATTTGGTTGCATTTGCATGCACCTTAATTTAATTGAACTTGAAGCACCCCAAGTGGGAAGCTTTAGATAGAATTGCACCCTCTCCTGCAGCTTAAGCTTTTGGTCTAGTGACAATCCCTTGATCCTACAACTATGTTCTCTGCGTTTATTAAACAAAAGCTCAACAATATTTTGTAAGATGTAGACAGCAGAAACCCCAGAAATTTATTTTGTTGCCAATAAATTCATATTTATCATATAAATTCTAGGATGAAATAGCCCACTTAAAATTTAACATTGTTTTTCTTTTCTCGTGTGTGTGGAAAGATGACAATAATTTATTTTATCTTCAAAAGATTATTTTGGTATCACGTTACGGTGTGGAGAAAAAACATCATAGGGTTAATGTCTTGCATACATTCAAGCCATTGTAATTTGACAGTGTTCTGCAGAGATTCTGTTAAGTCTCTTACTATGATGAGTTTCTTCAATAAACAAAAAGTCTTTTTCCCTCCATTCCTCCTCGTTTGTTAGTGATGTAGAAATTAAATCGTTGGCAAAGTTTAATACAGACTCTGTCCATGATGGGATTTCATGCTCGCATATATATTATACATATTGGGCATATTTAATGGGAGCATAAGAAGTTAGAGGAGTTAATTTTAGTTTACTAACCATGTAGGATTATTTTGGTTAATTATAATCTTAACCGCCATTTTAATTAAACGGTTGAGATTTACTTTTTTTAACGCTCTCATCTTTCTGCATATACTTGTGTGCAGAAAATGTATCAAATGAAAAGACTTTTTAACGAGAATAAGAAAAATAAATCTTAATTATTAGATTTATTCATAGATAACTATGATTAAAATGTTAAATTAAGTGACAATTTAAAATAATCATGTAATCGTAACTATTTATATATGATTGTATACTTATCATCTCTCGCATTTAAAAATTTTCTTACTGAATACATCTCCTATGTATCTTTTTTATTTAGAATTTAGGGCCTTATCCCAATATTTGATTTTATTAATACTTGAGAACCCTATTCATTATAAGATGAAACTAAATGAGCTTTCCTTCATAGGAAGCTAGAGCTTTGTTAGGAAGACTGGAGTATCAGAAAGGAAATATCGAAGCTGCACTTCACGTATTTGAAGGAATAGATATTGCTGCAATCATTCCCAAGATAAAAATTTCTTTATCAAGAAGATGTGAAACCAATAGACGCCATTCACAGAGTGATGCAGTGCCTCCTATGTCAATGCATGCAGTTAGTTTACTTCTTGAAGCTGTTTTTCTAAAGGCTAAATCATTGCAGGCTCTTGGAAGGTTCCAAGGTGCTTCTTTCATCTTGTTCTTAATTCTTGTTTAACTATATCATCTTATATATCTTGCACTTTAGCTTCAAAGTCTCTAGTTTCTTCAGCCTATGGTTTTGTTTGTGACTGAAGTTTATTAATTTGCAGATGCTGCTCAGTCATGCAAAACTATTTTAGACACTGTCGAATCTGCATTACCAGAGGGCTGGCATGAAAACTTTGTCTCAGATTGTAAATTACAAGAGACACTAGCAAATGCTGTAGAACTGCTTCCAGAGTTGTGGAAGCTTGCAGGCTCTCCTCAAGACGTTATCTCATCATTTAGGAGGGCCTTGCTTTATCATTGGAAAATTGACATTGAAGCCACTGCAAGAATACAAAAGGAATTTGCTTTGTTTCTTTTGTACAGTGGTTGTGAAGCAAGTCCTCCGGCTCTCCGCTCTCAGTTGGATGGTTCCTTTGTGCCAAGAAACAACATTGAAGAGGCTGTTCTTCTGCTTCTGATTCTGCTGAGAAAGTCTATTCTTGGAAACATTGTATGGGATCCCTCAATAATTGATCATCTTTCTTTTGCTCTAAGTGTTTCTGGGGAATTCATGACTTTGGCTCAAAATGTTGAGGAATTGCTTCCTGAGAACATGGAGAGAAAAGAAAGATATTATACTCTAGCTCTTTGTTACTGTGGGGGAGGCAAAGATATGATTGCTTTAGATCTTTTGAGGAACTCTTTGAATTATAGAGAGAACTCAGACTGCATATGGGAATTACTCCTGGCTTCAAAAATTTGTGCAGATAACAAGGTTTGTGAGGAAGATGGAATCAAATATTCTTCCAAAGCCATTTCTCAGTTGTATGGAAAATGCATGCAGATGGAAGCTATTGCAAATTGCTTACTTGGTGTTCTACTGTCATCAAAATCCAGGTCAGCTGCTTCTGAATCAGAGAAGGTTTCGATGCAGTCTCAAGCACTTGGTGCTCTAAAAGCTGCTGAAAGAATGATGAGGGAAAGTGATCCTTATATTGTCCTTCATCTTTGTCTAGAATATGCTGAGCAGAGGGAGTTAGGAATTGCTTTTTATCATGCAAATAAACTGATTAAGCTTGAGGGTGGATCTAGTATTAATGGATATAAACTACTAGCAAGAATTTTATCAGCTCAAAAAAAGTTTGTAGATGCAGAGATTGTTATTGATGCAGCTCTAGATCAAAGTGGAAAATGGGATCAAGGAGAACTGTTGAGGACCAAAGCTAAACTACGGATTGCCCAGGGAAAATTAAAGAATGCAGTGGAGACATATACTTTTCTTCTTGCTGTTCTTCAAGTCCAAAATAAAAGTGTAGGCACTGCTGGTAAGGTTGTGAAGGTATGCTTCATGGAAACATGTACAATATATTACTTGGATGCTTTAACAACTCATTATCATTTGGAAAGGAAAATTAGAAGGCTCAATAAAACTCTAGCTTATTAATATATCTAGACTAATATATTTCTTTTCTTACTTCTCTTTTGTACGGAGTAAGGGAAACCGTGACAGAAGACTGGAAATGGAAATATGGCATGATTTAGCCAACGTGTACACAGCCTTATCACAGTGGCAGGATGCTGAAGTTTGTCTTGCAAAATCTCGGGCTATTAATCCCTATTCTCCTTCTAGATGGCACTCAACAGGTATATCACTTCTATTTTCGCTCCCTGACCTTTATAGGTTCTTCATCTTTCTTCAGTCTCTTTCTTGTCATTATTTGAATTGCCAAAAGCAAATATCTTAACAGAATCTACATTACTTCCTTAGAAAGAATATAATTGGCCACAGAAAAATGGAATCTTAATTTTATTGAAGCTTAAAATGTTTTACATTTCAAACTCCCTTAAGTCCTTCAGTAACATTTTGTTTGAGGTAGATCTTTGCATTTTTCATGTACCAAAGTTCATAAATTATATTTTTGTAGGTTTACTTTTTGAAGCCAGAGGTCTTCATCAAGAAGCTCTGAAATCATTTAGGAAAGCACTAGATATTGAGCCCAACCATGTGCCCAGTTTGATATCCACAGCATGTGTACTCAGACAACTTGGTGGTCAATCATCTTCAATTGTTAGAAGCCTTCTCACTGATGCACTGCGGCTTGACAGAACAAACTCATCTGCTTGGTACAATCTTGGATTACTCTACAAAGCTGATTTGGGCACATCAACAGTGGAAGCTGTTGAATGCTTTGAAGCAGCGGCTCTTCTTGAAGAATCTTCTCCCATTGAACCCTTTAGATAACACACTTCCAATTTTACTTACATATAATAGCAAGTTACGAGTCTTCTTGTAAAGTTCAGCCTTTTGATTTTGCTTTTGATAGGTGAAAAAGGAGGAGAAAGAACATAGGTAAATGTTTCTTGGATGTGCCATGATGTAATTAATCATTAATCTTCGCTTTATGTTAATTGAAAGACGATTAGTTCTTTGTGCATCATTTTCAAGCTAGTCAGTTTCCTCATGAACAAGATCTTCAATTATTTACATAAAAAAAATACGCGGTAGCTAGAATTATTCCTCAAAATTGCAACGAGGAATTGAAATTAAAAATTCCAATTTCTCGCACTCTGCTTTACATAGCTATAAAATTCCTCGTTAATATTTCCACAATGAGGATCAACAATTCAAGATTAAAGCATTTCAAGTTTAAATCTCACTGCAAAATTTCCTCTGGCTGGCAATGCGTAAACATAAATACAATCCCTCGTTGAAATTTGTGACATGCCTACGCTTTAACAGGGAGTGGGAAACGAGAGAGAAAATGAATGCAAAATATTTAGTGAAAATAAGTTTTGTATATATTTTGTCTAATAGTGCAGAGAAGAAAGCTCTATATATACACTAAATTCACTACTTTCGTACCATTGTACAAAAAAAAAAAGAGTTAAATAGTAAATAACTAATTGCTTAATGGTTAGCTCCTTCAATAAGAGGTGTGTCCATATCCTTGGATACTCTCCACAAGCTAGGGAATATATGTTTAGAAGACCTAACTTGGAAGTGATGGATCAAGATAATTGAGAGCTCAAGACTTTAGTATATATATCAGCCAACTGCTCGGAAGATGTGATGGGAAGCAAACAAAGAAGTCCTTGATGTGTCTTTTCTCTAACAATATGACAGTCTATTTTTATGTGTTTGATGAGTTTGCGGAACACTGGATTTGCTGCAATGTGTAACGTTGACTCGTTATCATAGTAAAGTAAGGTTGGTTGCTAGAATGAAACTTCTCTAGAGACTACTTTGTTTCTTTGACTTTTATGATACAAAAGAGGACCCAAGATAAATGTTAAATCCAGTAACAAAGCGCCTCGTGTTTGGGCATGTAGCTTAATCACTATCACTATAAGCCTTCAGTTGAAGGATTGAATCACATAGAAAGAATAAATCGAGGCTTGGAGTTCCTTTGATGTATATTAGAACACACATGGCAACATTACAGTGTAAGTGATGGCTTCGAGAGAATTGCGAAAGTTGTTGCATTGAAAAGACTATATTTGATCGAGTGTTGGTGAGATACGTAAGTTGTCCTATTAAGCGTCTATAAGCAAGAACATCTTAGAATGTTTCATTTGAATCATATGAGAATTTTTTTGCAATGTCAATAAGCGTGTTTGATGATTTGTAACCCAAGAGACCTTCCTCAAATAACAACTCTAAAGCATATTTTCATTGATTCACCAAGATTCCACGTTTGCTTCATGCTACTTCTAATCCAACAAAGTGCCTTAAGGTGCTTAAATCTTTAATTCAAAAAGAAGTACCCGAAGCTTGTTTGATAGTTCTAATTTCCTATCCATCATTTCTAGCCAATATATCATCTACGTGTATTAACAATGTTGTGAAAGATCCAATAAATGACTTTATAAATAAGGAATAATCATGTATTGATTGGGAATAACCTGCAGAGATGAGAAAAGATGATAGCCAAGTGTAGATTGTTTTTTCATCATCCCCACTAGTTTCTTCTAACAACCAATCATTACTATTATCAACATCCTTTATGAGAATAGGATCCACCACATAAGAACAGTCAAAACTTTCATTAAGAGCTTAATTATATTTAATGAAAACTAAGCTTGCAATCTTTGATGCTCAAAGTTTGCTTCTCATCTTAGAATGAATCTATTTTATCATAAAAAAATATATAATTTTTACACTTTCAATATTATTAGACCAAACACTTCAAATGATATTTACTTATGTGCTCAAAAGTGTTCCAATTTCGTTTATATCAAGATAAACTACAAGTCAAACTTAATTCTCTAATGACAATATTTTGTAAATGTGGCGTACATACTCCTTAGTTCTTCCACCATTCAGTTGCAAGATATCTAATAACTTATTAGCATTGCTATCTTATATCTACATAATTGTATCATAATAAAAAATTAAACAAATCTCTTACCGGGAGCTATTGTAGCCATTTGTCTTTTTGGTTCACTTAAACTAAAGAGATCTTCAACTCTTCTATATGCGAACATCTGAAATATAGCATTGTTCATATCCTCTTCACTTATACATAACTTTTCAATACATTTATACAAGCCCTCCACAATTTAAGATCATTTTTAATTTGTTTATTGCCATAAAAAAATTGAGGATTCGGATAATGACTTGCAACATGCAATGGGTGATGAAGCTAACACTCTCATCTTTTATTAATTATAGCAAAAATCTCCTTTTACTTGTCTTCATTTCCTTTGAATGCATTCTTTAGCTCTATCAATTATTTCATATATGTAACCTATAATAGATTTTCTTTCATTATCAATAAGCCACAAAACTTGCACAAGTGGCCCTATAGCCTTAAGAGTGAAAATAACATCATTTCAAAAAAAAAAAAAGGCATAAACATAGTATGTGTTGCTCTTTTTCCTTTAGTTTCTTTGGTTATTGTGAACTTCAACCCAGCAATGGCTCAAGAGTTTTTAGGACCTAAAGTAAATTTAAAAATGAGGCTTTTTTAATAATAAAATAATTTATTATATTAGTTGAGAATTATAGTTAATTAAATATTATTTGTAATATCAATAAAAATTTAATAATTAAATTAAATATTTGAATTATAAACTATTTTTAAATTTAATTTTTTTAATTTTTAAAGGTATATTAAAACTAAAAAAAAAAAATTGGGGGCGTAATGCCCTTGCCTTACCTTCCTGGGCCTTAGGCCGACCCTGCTTCAACCACTCATTGAAAGTCAATATTTTTTTAAGGTAGTTTTTTTTTTTATTATGCAACCTTGTAATATGTGGAATGTTACAGTAAATCTTGTCACTCCATATCTAACCAATTCATTTTTATTTGTAAACCTCCTCATAATGTTTAAAGTCAATGAATGATTATAAAAAAAACCCACAAGTTAAACTCCTTTTTGTATTGTTCTCTTGAAATCACTCTTTTCTCAATGTATTCCAATATCAAATCAATACAGTTTGTAGTGCATGGAGTTCAAAACTGTTAGAACTAAAGTACAAGAATAAGTGTTAGATGTTGTACATAGGCCTAGGATATGACAAGTTTACTTTAGAAGAAGGGTACCGATTGTTAACACTAAAGGGACGGTTAGTTAATTAGTTAGTATGACAGTTGTAATGATTAGTGAATATAAATAATTGCAAAACAAGTTGATAGAAGCATTCATTCTTCTTCCTTGATTTGCTAGAAAAAGGAGATTCTATCTCTATAGATAGCACATTGCTTTTAGGGTCTACAATGTAAGTATAAATTATTCTTCTCTTTGATCGTTCAATAAAAGAATTCAATCTTTTTCTTCCAAAATTCCTCTTTTCTCTCTCAGGTCTTATCAATTGGTTTTGTTGCCAAGTCCCATGTCCACAAGAATGAATAAGCAAGTTAAAGCATTGGTGTCTAAAGTTCACAATATCAACACAACCATGATCGTCATAATTCTTTTAGAGAACAAATGAAGGAGGTGCAAATTATGTAACAAGCTTTGTTGAGAGAAATTCAAAAGTTGAACGGCAATAGACTGGGTGCGATTCTAGAGGAAGAGAGGTCGCAAAGTGAAAATTCTTATACTGTGAATGGAGATGCAGAATTTTGTTCATTTGTGAAGAAAATGGAACTTCTTTCTTTCAACAAAATAGATCCAGCAGGGTGGATTTGCAGAGGCGAGACCTACTTCAAGGTTCATGGAACATCTAAAGTTGTGAGGATGAAGCTTGCTAAGATCTATATAGAAGGGAAAACTATTCACTGGTTCAAATTGTGGTATACAGAGGACAATCCAATTTAGGAGAACCTCAAGCAAGCAATGATTGTTAGGTACGGAGTAGATCATCTTCATAATCCTTTTGAAGAATTGAAATTAATCAAGCAAAAAGATTCCATGGAGGAATTTATTGAGGCATTTGAAGTATTAGCCTTTCAAGGGAACATAAGTGGGAAGATATCTGCCAACTGAGTATGAGTGGGAACATAAGTGGGAAGAATAAGATTCTGAAGGAGAGCATCTTGTACCAGGTGGCAGTCAACTTCGATGTGCTTAGTTCGTTCATGAAATATCGGGTTTTTGGCAATGTGGAGCGCTGTCTACCTGTCACATGAGAGGCACACAGGCTGTTTAAGAGGAATGACGAGGTCAAAGAGAAGTGTTTTTAACCATTGAATTTCACAAGTGGTATTAGCCATAGAACGATATTCCGCCTCAGCTGAGGAGTGAGACACCGTATGTTGTTTCTTTGTCTTCCACAATATCAGTGAGTTGCCAAGATGGATAAACCAACCCGTGATGGATCTGCGAGTAAGGGGGTAGCTTGCCCAATCCGAGTCCTACCAACTATGGAGTGTGAGACAATTATCCCTTCTTAACAGAATACCTTGGTCAAGTTTCCCTTTCAAGTAGCGAACAACTTGCATAGCTGCCTGCAAGTATTCTTCTCTTGGTTGCTGCATAAATTGTGACAGAACGTGTACATTGTATGATAGCTCTAGCCGAGTAAAACACAAGTATATCAACTTCCCCACAAGCCAACGGTACTGACTAGGATCGGAGAGCAGTGGACCGTCTGCCAAAGCTAGTCGATGATTCTCCTCTAAAGGTGTTGAGACTGGCCTTGATCCTAGAAGCCCATTTTCCATGATAATGTCCAAAGCATATTTACGTTGGTTAAGAAATAGTCCAGTGGGAGATCAAGCCACCTCCACTCCTAAGAAGTACTTGAGTTTTCTCAAATCTTTCATATAAAAGCATGTGTGAAGATAGTCTTTGAATT